GCAAACGTGCATTGCACGTTGCTTTAACCTAGTGTTAATATATAAATTACAAGAAGAATAATGAAAACATATCACCCAAATCATGAAATAACTCAAAAGATGGTGATCTTTAAGTCCAAAGTTGAATTCTCCAAAATCTTGATGTCATTAACTTTCCATTCTTTACTATGGCATGATCTCCTCTCTCAAAATATAGAGTTGATCCCTCGTTTTTGATGAATTTGATGATAATATTTTGTATGAAGAGGTAAGAGAGAGTTTTTTCATGTGCGAGCCTTGTTTTGTATTTATAAGAGTCAGAAAATAGGTAAAAAATCTTGTCCAATTTGGGTTCCAAAGAAGTTTGAATTACAAAAGAAAACCGCTGATTCATCTGGGAAAAAAACCGCAACGCTCCGTTGATCCAAATGACTCTCGAGTCAAAGTTTTGGTGTCTTGCACGCGCCAGAATTGGCCCCCGCGCCATTTTGCATGCTATCGTCCCTGAGCAACTTTCAATATTTTGGTCACTAACAAATAATTTAATTTAATGACCTAATTAAGTGTACAAAATACATGTATCACATCTGATTCATCATCTGCAAAATGAACTATCAAGATATAAACATGAGTCCCCAACTTTGAAAAATACTTTATGTAATTACCTAAACTATTTGTCATTAGGCAATCCACAGTTAACATGGAAAGAGCTAAAAAGATATCAATCCACAAACTCAAACAAATTGCAAAATGTGAAGGTATCAAAACAAAATTATGGCAATCCACAATTACCATGAAAAGTATTAATAACATATCAATTCAAGAACTCAAGTTATCAAAACAGAATTAGTACAATCAAAACTAATGAACATACAAATGCTAGAACATTGACATATGTTCTTGGCAGATGAACTGTCTAGAATGAACTTCAAATATAAGATTTGAACTTGACCACCCAACATAACCACGCATTCTATGAGGAAACAACATCAAATGCAGTAAACAGTAAGCCTTTGTTTGAACCCAACATTTATGTTAATATAAGTTTTGTAATAGCGATTTTTTGGAGAATATGTGGTTAAAAAGTAAAGAAAATCACTAATTCAAAACTTATTTTAGTAATGGTTTTTTGGAGAATGTCTGGGGTCTTAAGTTAAGTGTACATAAAATAACTTAAATGATTAATCTTTCAAAATATTACACTTTGAAATCAATGCATATATATTAATGTTTCCTCTTTAATGTATGCATTTTTGTGCCTTTTTGTGTGCTTACAAAATTTTCACCACATTCAAATTTTATTTTTTTTTAATTTCGTACATGTTTTGTGATAAAATATAAAATAATCCATAGTTATAAAAATATAAAATATTATATAACTAATAAACATTTATTTATAGATAAATTAATAACATCATAATTTTTCTCGGTCCTAACATTATTATTTTATAGAGGTTTTATTGTACATTGTAAATTGTAAAGAAGCATTGCACAAAACATTACACCATTGAAGTTTTCATCTTAGTTATTCTTCTTTCGTCTTCTCCAGGGGCATATATATGCGTGCAGAATCGAGGGGTCAAATGGTCATCTTATACATAAAATCTACATACATTACCTCGACTGGAAAAGGTTGGGTTAATCTATAATCATTCAAATACCTTGATATTTCAGATATATGAAATGGAGCAGTCAAGACTGAACAATTCTAGAGTATAAATTATGTGTTTGAAATTAAACAATATATAATCTTCATGAGATAGCCTCAATTTGGTATAATCTACTAATTGTTAGAATATTCTTGAGGTTTCAAATGGATAAAATGGTGTAGTCAGGACAAAATCTTCAATTAGATTGTAACGGAAAAATCGATGCATAATTTATGTTCCAACAATTTTTACATGCAAAAAAATCGGATAGAGCTTCAACTTATTGAAACAAATATGTAAAAATTAGAATTGCACAAAATGAGATTTTGGTCAAGGCAATAGTGAGACTTGTTTTCTCCTTGAGACATGTGCAATTGATTTTTGAACACTCGTTTTTCTAGATACAATAATCGTATCCCGCAATAGAAGCTCCTCAAATTATGAAGACCAATGAAATTACCGATATTTTGAACTATTTTTATATAAAACTCAAACTCAAAATATATGTAGAAATTCTGAAGTGAATCTGCACCAATATAATAGTTGAAAAGTTGTGTAAAATGGCAAAATTGTCGGAATAAGACGTGTGGACAACTTATATTCAAAAGACATGATTGATTTTTCATCCAAAAGACACATTTTTCAGTACATATATTTTAGAATATTTTGTCAATTGTCACATTTGAGTTTAAAAGAATATTTCATCTCACCTTCAGTCTTAACTTCTCTCACTTGAAGTTGGTTCGAGAAAATAAATATACTTTAATAATGTACTCACGAAAGTACATTTTCAACCTTTAACTCCCAT